AAAACATCCTGATGCATGCTCAATAATCAATAATAAACTAGAAAACAAAGTTTCCTGAAACGATTGAAGGCATTTGTTTACATACATGTGGTGGTGGCCATCTTGGATTTTGACGTGTCAGTCTCATTTTTGACCACGACCTTTTTTTATGCCACACACCAAAATGAAAGTACATCAATCATGTTTCAAGTTCAGCTGAGAAGACGGACGGACGGTATTTCCAAGTCCCTTCTTGTCTCCAGGACAGGGGACATTCTTTTGATAGGACTCATATTAAATATATTTTTATGGCTTTCAATCACTCATGTTTGTCTTCTGCTGCTTGAATTTGGACCAGGGCCCTTGAGTCCTCACCTGAACGTCCACACCATCCCAGCCGCTGTTTCGACACTGGACCACGTCTGGGACGAAGGCCTGGCAGCCCGCTGAGCCACCGACACAGGTCAGCTGAGGAACGGGGCTGGAGCGCCTGGCTGTGGTGTACTGGTTTCTGTAGAACGTCAGAGCTTGGACCTCTCTCAGAAGCACGCTGCCTGCTGTGGAGCACACACACACCGAACACATGCACAGCTCAGTTTCAAGTCACGCGTGTGTTCACGATGGAAACACACACACGATGACGCAGCAACGTTCATTTCATCACGTGGGGCTGATGCAGCTCGGGCCGTCTTTAAACTGAAGAGAGTTTCAAGAGTCTCCAATGATTTTGTACCAGTAAGAAAAAAAATGTCAGGATTTCATCATCTTTTCATAAATCAGGTAAATAATTCTGAAACTATTGAAACCAGGCTCTGGAAACAGATACTCCCATCACACGGCTCATCAACCACCACCTTCTCTTGTGGTTTAGGGGTCGAGGGAGGGCAGCCGACTCGGGACCCCAAAGTCCCAGGTTCGATCCCCAGCCATTGCCACATCATGGTGCCTCTGAGCAAGACACCTTATCTCTAACTGCTGCCCGGGGGCTCATTCACATACATGATTACACAGCTGCCCACGGCTCCACCTGGGGAATCTCAGGTGTGATGGCTTTAATGCAGACAGCTCATTCAGTCGTTGTGTGAGAACACTCAGAGCTTTACCTGTTGTCCACCACAACAGTGGAGGTCCCACAGAACCTGAGCTCCACCGTCCTCCCACAGCCTTGGTGGGATCTCCCACCGACACTGTGGGACCTGGTCCACTACATTACTCCAGATGTTGAAGCCAAGATTCAACTTGTCTGCTACAAGATTCCTTAGAGAACTTTACTAACTGGCTTTTATGTGAATGTTCCTGTAAAGTCCCTGAGACAACTTGTTGTGATTTGATGCTTTAGAAATAAACTGAACTGAATGTTCCTGCATATTAATCCAGATGTTCCTGCATATTAATCCAGATGTTCCTGCATATTACTCCAGATGTTCCTGCATATTACACCAGATGTGCCTGCATATTACTCTAGATGTTCCTGCATATTAATACAGATGTTCCTGCATATTACTCTAGATGTTCCTGCATATTAATCCAGATGTTCCTGCATATTACTCCAGATGTGCCTGCATATTAATCCAGATGTTCCTGCATATTACTCCAGATGTTCCTGCATATTACTCCAGATGTGCCTGCATATTACTCCAGATGTTCCTGCATATTACTCCAGATGTTCCTGTATTAATGCAGCCTCTTGGTGAAGGTGTTCCATGCTCTGCCTGCACGTGTGGTGGAGCCCGGCGTCTGTTGCTCTCATCCGGAGGTTCTGGTCTTGTGCTGCCGTGGTTAGAGTCTCTGCTGTCCTTCAGTCCAGCCTCAGGTAGGACTTGTTCAACCTGCAGCTGGTGCATGTCGTGCAGGGGTTCCTGGTTCCATGATGGCTCCTCTTGTTCCTCCTCTTCCACATTGGGTTCTGCTGCTGCCTGAGACATTCACTCATCACTTGACCATCGGTGTTCCTCCTCATGCTCCCTCCTGTCTCTCGGTGTTCAGTGTCGGGGTCTGGACTTCAGGTGAAAGCCTGCACGCGTCGTCTTGTCTGATGACGTCACACGTCTGCTCTTCTGGACCTTCTTCTCTGTAGGGACTTGGTTGTGGCTCTTTCTTGCAGCCTCATCATGATTGCTATTTGCCAGGACATCCTTGTACAACAGATTATAATCTCCGAGGATTAATTTGCAGGTAAACTAAAGGTTTAAATAAAGTTACCTGTTGTGCTCAGGTACGTGTCTGTGCTGGACACCTGCCGTGCGTACTTCACCTACTTCAAACCCTTCACTTGTATTTTTCATAAATTCTCGTTGAAATCCGTTTATTTGTGAGATATTTTGCTAACAGTCCACAGGTAAAGCATGGAACTTACCGTCGATGAGTGTAAACCACAGCGGCAGAACAAAGACTCTCATCGTGTTCGTCTCCACACAAATTATCTCTCTTCACTTTGAACTAATCGCTCGAACCTTCTTTAGATTTCCAGTTTGATTCCAGCGGTTACAAAATATTCACCGTCAACATGAAAGAGTGAAACCGGAACTAACGTTGTCTGCAGCGTCATCTCTTGTTTTGATTCATGACAACTTCCGGTTTGAAGTTGTATTACCGCCCCCTGCTGGCTGCCAGCCTGCATCACACCCTGTTTATAGAACTTTTATATATTACAGTCAATCAATCAATCAATCACCTTTATTTTACCAGGTAGAGCCCGTTGAGATCGAGATCTCTTTCACAAGGGTGACCTGGTCAAGTGGTCATCAGCGCACGTCACAGGGTAATTGACAATAAGCATTTACATTTATCAAAAGAAAAAAGAAACTACTATCACGATAAATAAATGTTAACAGTTTGAAACCATCCGGATAAGACAGACTTCTGTAGACATTAAATGTAGAACAGACATCAGGTTAAGTAGACAGAGTTAAAAGTGAACAAAGACATGTGTATTTGATAAGTAGTGTTTTAGAAACATCTGCAATGGTCCAGATTTTTGATAACATTATCTGATACGGTTGACATGAAGGATCTAGGCGAGATGAGTGTTGATAGTTATGACCAGTTAATGACAGTTATATCATTATTGTTATACAGGCAGCACGGTGGCGCAACTGGTAGAGCTGCTGCCTCTCAGCGAGCAGGTCCCTGGTTCAAATCCCGGTCCAGGGGTCCTTCTGGGTGGAGTTTGCATGTTCTCTCCGTGCTGCTGCATGGGTTTTCTCCAGGTACTCGTTTCCTCCCACAGACCAAAAACATGCATGTTAGACTGATTGGTAACTCTAAAAGATGATGGATGGATGGAGCAAATTTACAAGGGTATGAACAAAATCATGCAACACAAGAAGTGTTAAACTCTACCTGGAAAAAAAGGCAGACAAGACGTATAAAGTTTTCTTCAACAGTTGCTTTCTCTCCCGTGAACCTTAGACCGGTGAAGACAGCAGCGGTTGTGCAACACACAGTCTCTTCCATTTCACATTCAATGGTCACAGCCGTCTTGGTGCTCACTCACTTTGTAAAGATGAGCTTCTTTTGGTACCATACCTGGACCCCCTACAGTTTGCATACCAGCCACGTACTGGAGTTGGTGGCGCCATCATCTATACCTGCTGCACAGACACGCACCTGGACAGGGCAGGCAGCACTGTAAGAGTCATGTTCTTTGACTTCTCCGGTGCTTTTACCACCATCAGACCTGCTCTGCTCTGCAGTCAGCTCCTGGACATGCAGGTGAAGGACTCGCTGGTCACCTGGATCGGAGACGACCTCACAGGTCGACAGTATGTGAGGCTGCAGAACACCACCTCAGACACCATACTGAGCAGCACAGGGGCTCCTCGGCACAGTCCTCTCACCATTTCTGCTCCTCAGACTTCAGGTCCAACTCACAATCCTGCATCTGCAGAAGTTCTGGATGATCTGCCATTGTGGGCTGCACCACTGATGACCAGGAAGCTGAACACAGAGGTGTGGTGGACAGAACCACCTGAAACTCAATGCTGGAAAAACTAAAAATCTGCAGGTGGACTATAGGGAGAAGATCAGCCCCCTCCCAACAACCCTATCAACATCAAGGGTACTAAGGTGGACACTGTGGACTGCTACAAGTACCTGGGGGTCCACCTAGACAATAAACTGGACTGGACAGCTAACACCAACCCCCTCTACAAGAAAGGACAGTCACATTTTTCTTCTGAGGAGACTCAGGTCCTTTAAAGTCTGCAGGACCATGCTGCAGATGTTTCATTACTCGGTGGTCTCTGCAGGACTGTGCTGCAGATGTTTCACCATGCAGTGGTCTCTGCAGGACCGTGCTGCAGATGTTTCACCATGCAGTAGTCTCTGCAGGACCATGCTGCAGATGTTTCACCACTCAGTGGTCTCTGCAGGACCGTGCTGCAGATGTTTCACCACTCGGTGGTCTCTGCAGGACCATGCTGC